CAATATGTCAACCATAAGCAGCTTTTATACATTCAGGAAAGAGGTAATGATACAACAAATTTAATCTTGAAGTCTTCCCAAGTTAGATTTAAGTCTGGACTCAACATGGCCATTCTGACACATCAACATCCATCCATCCATCTTCTTCTCCTTATGCTGGGTCAGGTCGTGGGGGTTGCAGCTTCAGTAGGGAGGCCCAGACGTCCTTCTCTCCAGCCACTTGGGCTAGCTCCTCTGGGGGAATCCCAAGCCGTTCCCAGGCCAGCAAGAAACATAGTCCCTCCAGCGTCTCCTGGGTCTCCCCCTCGGCCTCCTCCCGATGGAACGTGCCCGGACACCTCACCAGGAAGACGTCCAGGAGGCATCCTAACCAGATGCCTGAGCCACCTCAACTGGCTCCTCTTAACATGAAGGAGCAGCTGCTCTACTCTGAGTCCTCCCCGGATGACTAAGCTCCTCACCCTATCTCTAAGGGAGAGCCCAGTCACACTACAGAGAAAACTCATTTTTGCCACTTGTATCTGGGATCTCTTTCTTCGCTCATGAACCAAAGCTCATGACCATAGATGAGGGTAGGAACACATCAAAACTTGAGATCAAAATCACTATGTTTTGAGGCGTCCTTAGCCCCAAGTGCTTTTCATTCTCTAACAACCTTTCCTCAACAATTGCTCAGCTGCTTGTACTGAGCTCTGCCCATCTTCTTCAGCATGCTGCAAATAACACACTTCAAAATGAGAATGGAGGAATGCAGGGAGACATTTTCCTCTACAAGTTTTATTTTCAACCTTCCTCAAATATTCTATTGTGTTATGATCTCTTCAAATAAATGTGAATAAACTACGTTTTGAGGCAGTTTTAATTTTATTTGCATTTTATTGACACAGCTGACAGCATGAAGGTTAAATACTTTTGGTATCGTTTTCTACATTTTATTAACTTTTTAGTATCAGACATGTAAAAGAAGAAGAGAAGGAGGTGATAACTTCCAGCAGCCATGACTTAAGAACTGATTTCACAGTATGAGGAAATCAAAGTAAAACAGGAGGTAAAGAAGTTGAACTCTAGCAAAACATTTTCTACACTTATATTGAACCCTTCAAAAAAATTGTAGATGGAAGTTAGATTCAAAAACATACAGTTATATTAGGCTTGCTTAACACTGAAAAACCAAAACTTTTTTTTTTAGCTCAAATTAATTAGGTGAAAATGTTTGAGGACTCACTTTTAACAAACAGCCTCATTAAGCTGGAGCAAAGGCCAAAGAAGTTTTCCAAATTAGAGTTGGAAAAGTAAAACAAATCCTGGGCAATTTGTACCTAAGAATTAATGTGAAAGATAACATAATTAAGTGTCAACGCTAGTAAACAAATCATCTCATTATCCATCCCTAAAGCATTGTATTATGCCCAACATACCAATATACAACATGTTCTGTATTGGACGCTAAGAAAAAAGAAAAAAACAAAATTGGCTCTAAAAATCATTTTTTTTACTAGTTTTATCAAAACTACAGATGTCAGCCTACAGTACAGATAAACAGGAAACCAGGTTGAAATGGGGGCAGTGGACATTTTTCCACAGTCTTCTTCCCTTTTGCTGGTTTAAAGTAAAAACAAATCTCATCAGTCCTTTGGGGTACGCTCCCGCTTCTTCCCCTCCTTCTTTTGCTTCTTTGCATCTGCAAGGAAAGAAAAATAAAGTAAATATAGTTATACTCCACCCTATAAATCTTCTTTACTGCCAGAGGAGACACCTTTGAAAAATAAACAAATCCTATTGTCTCCATGAAGAGAATCCATGCTCCGTCTCTGATCGTAATACACCATATAGGTTTTAATCAGCTAGTTTGCCTCAGTGAATGTTTTGTACTGTGACCCACTTTATGCTGATCTCTCCTAAAGCCTGATCATGCAGCCTTCAGAAAGCACAGCACCATAAGCCTTCAGCAAGTGTGGAGTGGCACCTGGCAGCCATGACTTTTAATGCCGCTGTGTTCAAGTAAACAGATGACTGCCTACAGTTTCTTGGCTTTTTTAGCCTTTGGCTTGCTGTTTATTACTTCGCAAAACTTTATGCATGACATCTTTTAATCTAAGATTTATCCATGTGCAGGTAGATTGTGTAATTAAAAGGGAAATATTAAGGTCCATTGGATAAAAACAAGACAAAAAAAGTTTGAAAAGAAGAAACATTAAAAGAAAACAAAGAAATAATGTCCGAATTTTACACTCTGGCTATGTTGTACAAATGACTTTAACCGTTTGGACTAATTTTGTTTTATCAGTGAGCTGAGAAGTTTCCCATTTATTTCAGTTGAAGAGTAGAGGTTCTAGCATTAATGGCACCCTGGGTGAGCCTCTGGTGTGAACTCACCTTCTGAGACCACACTATTTATCTTTATTCTAATGCACTATTAACCCAGAGTTCAGATCTCAACAATTCTGCAAACCAGAGGTTGGTAAATTCTATCAATTATTATTATATTTAAGAATTGTAACAACCTTGAAGTAATTCAGGCCAATGCAAAACACCAATTCATCCAAGCAGTCCATAATCTTCCTATAACAACTTTATGATTGTACGCAGAGGTGGAAAGAGTCCTAAAAAATTGGAATTAAGTAAAAGTATCTTTCCTTTGCCTAAATTCTACTCAGAGTAAAAGTAAAATTACCCATCTTAAAATTTACTCAAGCAAAAGTACAAAATTACTTCATTTAAAATGTAATTTGAGTAACAGGAACTTAGTTACTTGAGTTATTTAATGCAAAAAAAGGATGAGTCATGAATCGAATTGAGCACAAGGTGTTTTAATCAATTTCAAGGCGTATTTCAGCGGACATCCACACTTGCAAAAGATCAGCTGGGCTAAAGAACATACTTCCTCACAGCACAAGGACGGTCACAACCTGTACCATAAAGTGCAAACAATTTTCAATCCTACTGTCCAACAGGCAACACCATGATAACTAACTTACCGCCACATTTTTTCGTAAATTGGATGTTGATGTTTTAAAAGCCGAAAGCTCAGTTTTGTTGGGCAGGCACATGTTGCACTGCATTATCACATTGTTCCTTTTTGCGCATTTGAAAACAAATAAAACTTCCAAATATGGCCAAGGGTTTTTCTGGCTTTCGTCTCCAGAATATGTTTCCGCTTCAGGCCTTTCCTCATCCATACTCCCTAAATTGTGATTAGCAACTGCCATCTTCCGAAGCGCAGCACTGGATTATGAGACGATACAAAGGGTAACTGCAAGGCAGGGCCACATTAAATTTTTTCACCATCAGTCAGTGTTGTGGTCAAGACCACCTAACCCGAGACCAAGACAAGACCAAGAACAGAGTCTCTCGTGACTGAGACAAGACCAAGACTTTTAGGATCCGAGACCAAGTCAAGACCAAGGGAATCTATATTTAGTAGTCCTGTGTAGTAATCACAGAATTTCATGCTTTGAAATTCTGTATGCTTTTTTCCTCAATGTTGCTTTACAAATGTATTCTTTGTGATTTAAATAGCAGAATTTTATAACCAATGATTTGGCCGACATCTTATCCCGTTGTCAGACAACCACATGTGATTTTCAATCGAAGTGCTGCAACCCGCGCACAGGTGAAAGGGGGTGGGCATGACAGCGGTAAAAAACAAAACAAAAAAAACAAACAAACAAAATAAAAACATGCATTTACCAATGAGACAGGTTATTGCTTGGATTTGAATCCAAGCATCCAATAAAAAGAAGGATCTTAAAGAAACTGATAATATTCTGATGATTAGTGTTATTTCCACAGTTGTGGTCTTGACCGGTCTTGAAATAAAATGCCGAGTCCTCAGCGCCCGAGACCGAGACAAGACCGAGACCAAATGCGGTCAAGTCCGAGACGAGACCATCAAAAAATGGTCTCGAGACCAAGACCGATCTCGAGTACTTCAACACTGCCATCAGTATTTTATTATTTTTTTTTTTTTCTCAGGAAACGTGAGGGGGTTTTAAATGTAGCAAAGTAAAACTACTTAGGTTAAAATGTAGTCAAGTAAAAGTAAAAATTACATATTTCAAAAACGAGTCAGAAAATTACAAATTACTCATAAAAAGTACTCAATTACAGTAACTTGAGTAAATGTAATTCATTACTTTCCACCCCTGATTGTACGGTTAATGGAAAACTAGTATCTATATCCAGTTGGTTCACCCTGATGGGTCATCAGGCTATCACACAACAACGCAAACTGGAGAAATGAAACACTGAAGGGATTTATAGCGGTCAGTTAACCCAATATGTGGGTTTTTGGGGCTGTGAGAAGAAGCCAAAGTACCTGGAAAGAACCTCAGCTATGAATTAACCCATGCAGACCATGGAAAGCAATTATATCCCTTCTCCTTCCAAAACTCCATGTGGCACCTTTGCAGAAAAAAAATACAACTTCAAACCAAGTAAAGGATCCAACTTTAAAAAGACTAACATACAAATAGATAACATAGACCCTAGTCTATTAAAACCTTTTTCATTTTTTCATCATCTTATTTGAACACGCATGCCAACCCTGACAGGAAGGGTGAGTAGCATTGATCACACGTGTCATCACAGCAAAAGGGTATATCAGATACCTGTTTACTTAAAGCAACAAAAAGCAAATTAAAACTCTTGAATTGATGATCTAATCTAAAAAGAAAGGTCTTCCTTCTACTATCAAACATCTCCTTCTGGACATCACCAGACTTCTTCCTGGGAACTTCTGGGTGCAAGACCAACACCTTAACAGATGAGTCTTACCATTTTTCATCCATTTATACCGAAAGTCAGTCCTGAAGGAGCAATGTCTTGGATGTTTCTGTTTCTAGCACACCAGGATCTAATAAATGGGTTGTTAGCAGATACTAGCAATACTTTATCCCTTAAAAACCCAATCCCAGAATAAAACAAAACAGAAAATTACTTTTTTTTGGTTTGAAGTCCTTATTTGGCCTTTTAACAAAATATATAAAAAGAAAAAACAGAAATACATTTTTGATATTAATAATTTATTACTATGCAATAAGTCAAGATTCTTTTTTGTGTAGTCTTCTGCCCTCTGTTAACAGGTATATCTGATTGTGTACAATAGGATTTTGAGCAAAGTTTTTACCATTAAATTATGCAAAAGGTGTAAGACGCAAAACATTTAAAAAAACCGTATGTATCAAATATGATACATTTGGCATTTGAGGGTTAAGACAAACAGATGAGTTAACTTAGCGGTCTAACTCCTGCTTCTAACATGTAGGACAATGACCTTTAGGAGTGGTGCTGGAAATATCTAGACCCATTGCCTTAGCAAAAGTTTTTTTTTTTCTGTTTTTTTGACAGCAATTAATACTTAAATTTGATCTTCCATTATAATTTTCAAATAATGTGGTAGAAATGACAGATGAGTAATATGCCGAATGAAAGTTCCAGCTGGCAGTCAAATAAATTGAGCAGGTCTAATGAATACGTTTCGATGCCAAATGAAAGAAGATGCTTTTAACATCCTGCAAACATGGTAGTAATATACAAACACATAAATCTTAATTTAATGTTTATATGCAGGGATTATGTTGAAAGGACTCCCCTACATCTTGCAAATCCTTTAATAACATTCTGGCACGCAGTTACAAACTGCAACAACTTCTGCTTAGTCAATGAGATTGCAGCAGTGGTGTCTCAACCTTTTAACATTCTCAGCATAATCCGCTCAGAAATCTTCCTGAAAATCTTTTCTTTTCTGCTGCCAGCTCTCCACAGGGAGCAGAATTTAGATGCACAAGGTGCTCTCAAGCATGCAAACACTGAAATTGCTACAGTTTCCTGTGTGATTGCTTGCTTTAATTTGTTGGAATGTTCTCCATCCCCTTCTTCCTCATTTTTTGTGTCAGCATATTCTGCTCCCTGGAGAAAGTCACAGAGAGAAAGGATTCACTCTCACACTTGTCCGTTCCACTCCATGTGAGATAGGGATTCTCATTCAAGAGGCTCGAGTGTGTTCTGCTGCATTTGCACGTTGGATGTCGCAGCTTCTCTTCACTTTTCAGTGGCGGTCAAGACTTCTGCTGCTTTTTAAAGCTCTAACCTGTTATGATCTAAACACAGTAGCACAAGCTCCTTTTATCAGATGAGAAAATGTAATGTTGTCTACTTACGCTCTAAATACATTTAACCTTTTATTTATCTGATTTGCAGCCATTTTAGGTTTAGTTTTTTAGGTTCAGATTTTCAAAATGTGCCTAAAAAAGATTTTTTTCTCTTATCCATTGCACTTTAGGCAAATATTTAATAAAGTAACTTTTTTTTTTCTTCTTTTTTTATACAGTGTCCTGTCTGGCAATGTGGCAATAAGAATAATAGTCTTGATGCCAAAAAGAGCCCAACAGATTTTACTTTCACTAGTGTAGCAGTATGGCAATTGCCATATTGCTCCACTTGTTTCATGCATATAAATTGCTTTATTATAATTATGCAGGGAGTTTTACAGTTTATATGGACACTGCAATGTAAATAGAGCAGAACAACAGAAGAAGAAAAGGAAAAAAGAAAAAAAAAGAGAAAAGATGAAAGAAAGAAGAGATAGAAAGGAGACAATGACAAAACATTTTCATTTAAAGTTACTTCTAAAATCTTCACTAAACATTTGACACATTAAAATAAGACTTGATAAAACAC